CCTGGGCTATCTAGACAGATCTTGGGGGGTGAGGCACAGAAATGTAGGGACAAAGGGTGAACAAGTGCAGCAGTGATACTCACTAGACACAATGTTCAAAATGAACTATACAATTTGTGGGTGGTGATAGGGGGGACTTAAAGAGAGCAAGGGAAGGGGTGACATTGTCCAAAAAAGAAATGTATTCATTACCAGACTTGTGTAACTGGAATCCTTCTGTAATCACATTTATAATAATAATTTTAAAAAGAAAAATTTAAAAAGAAAAGAAAAATATAATTAAGAAAAGTTAACACAACTACTAATTCATATGTATCAAGTGATATAATTTGTTATCTATCTTTAATTATAAGGCTAACCAATGTTTTAAGTCTTATGTCATTTATTTATTCAATATTTGACAAACCTGGATGGTAACTTGGGTCTAAAAGACTCTTCATAGAGTGAGGGAGATGGGGAGGGAAGGAATAGTGGGAGAAAAACAAAGGAGGGGGTAACAATGCTGGACAAGAAATGTACTCATTACCTTACTCATATAACTGTAACCCCTCTGTATAACATCCTTACAATAAAATAAAATTATTAAAAATGGCCTTCATAAGAAAGAAAATAAACACATATTATTAGTAAAGGGATGACTTTTTAAATTTTCCAGACATTGGTTCTTAGGTATAGTTCAGCGTAATTGGGGGAAAAAATCTATTTGCTTGAGAATATGCAGTATTCAGTGTAAATCTGATTTTTGTGGGTTTGTGCCTTTTTATTTATGCCAATCCTGGGGTTTCAACTCAGGGCCTGGATGCTATCCCTGAGTTTAGTGCTTAAGGCTAGCACTCTACCTCTTCAGCCAGAGTTCCACTTCCAGCTTTTTGGTGGTTAATTAGGGATAAAAGTCTGTTCGGCAAAGGACATAGCTAGCAAGATCAATAGAAAGCCCACGGAATGGGAGAAGATCTTCACTATCCATACAACAGACAAGGGTCTCATATCTAAAATATACTTGGAACTCAAAAAATTAAATCCCCCAACAACAAATCCTCAAAGAAACAACTGCCCAATAAATAAGTGGGCGAAAGACTTAAAGAGAAACTTCTCTGAAGAAGAAAGAAGGATGGCCAATAGACACATGAAGAAATGCTCAACCTCCATAGCCATAAAATAAATGCAAATCAAAACAACATTGAGATACCACCTCACCCCAGTTAGAACGGCAAAAATCAAGAACTCTAACAACAACAGATGCTGGAGGGGATGTGGACAGAAGGGAACCTTACTTCATTGTTGGTGGGAGTGTAAACTTGTTCAACCACTTTGGAAAGCAGTATGGAGGTTCCTCAAAAGACTTCACATACAGCTCCCCTATGACCCAGCAATCCCACTTTTGGGCATTTACCCAAATGTTTACAAACAAGACCACACTAAAGCTACCAGCACAACTATGTTTATTGCAGCATAATTTACCATAGCTAAGATATGGAACCAACCCAGATGCCCCTCAGTAGATGAATGGATCAAGAAAATGTGGTATATATACACAATGGAATTCTATGCCTCCATCAGAAAGAATGACATTGCCCCATTTGTTAGGAAATGGAAAGACTTGGAAAAAATTATATTAAGTAAAGTAAGCCAAGCCCAAAGAAACATAGGTCCCATGGTTTCCCTTATTTGCAATATCTAGTATATGTATGAGTCAAGCAGAAAAGGTCAGCTAATGTGATGTTAGGAAAATGAACCCTTAGATATGTATTTTAATGTTTTTTTCTTTCATGCATTTGTTTCTAACGCATTTATAAGATTATCTCTTTGTTGCTTTGTATGTCCCTCCCCCACAGTATAACCCCTGCTTTCACTATATTTGATGTCGTTATAATTTGTGTAGGAGATGGGGAAAAACAAGTCGTTTAAGGATACAGGTGGACCTGTTGCAACAATGAGAAGTACAAGTTGTCATGTCGAAAACGAACTTTACAACTTTGGTGCGGGGATGTTTGGGAGGGGGGGAGGCTGGGAAGGGATGTGAAGGGTAAACAAAGGAGGAGGTTGCAAAGCTTGATAAGAAATGTACTCAGTATCTTGCCCATGTAATTGTAACCTCTCTGTACAGTATGTTCACAAAAATAAAAATTAAAAAAAATTAAAAAAATTTTTAAAAAGGCAAAAAAAAAGCAAAGGGATAACACCCAGGCCCTGAGTTCAAGCCCTAGAACCTGCACTGAGAGAGAGAGAGAGAGCGGGGGGGGGGGGGGGGGGAGGGAAACACTGTATGTATTTAGGAATCCAAGGTGAAAAATAAAAGATTTCCTGGGTGGAGGCAAAAAAAAAAAAAGTCTGTTGGAATTTTCTGGCTTTGAACCTCAATTCTCAATATTCAGCCTCCTAAGTAACTAGGGTTATACGCATTAGGCATTAATGTCTGGCTTTGTTTACATTGTTGAGCACAGGTTTTGTTTCCACATCTACTATGTTGGTTTTGCATAGATGAAGTTTTAAACTTATTCCAGAGCCACATTCCAGACCAACTAAATGAAAATCTCTCAGGCTAGATTGCAGGCATTTATATCTATTTATGTTTGTTTATTATTTTTATTTAATATTATAATTTTTGTGCCAGTACTGGGGTTTGAATATAGTACCTCATGCTCTTGCTTAGATTTTTTTGTTTTTTGTTTTTGTTGGTCATGTGGCTTGAACTTGCTCAAGGCTAGTGCTCCACCACTTTGAGTCACAGTGCCACTTCCAGTTTTCTGGTGGTTAATTGGAGATAACAGTTTTACAGACTTTCCTCCCCACGGTGACTTCAAACCTAGGTTCAAACCTCGGTTCTCACATCTCAGCCTGAGTAGCTAGGACTAAAGGCATGAGCCACCAGTGCCAAGCTCTTGCTCAGAGTTTTCACTTAAGGCTTGTGCTCTACCACTTGAACCACACCTCCATTTACAGGTTTTTGCTGGTTAATCTGAGATAACAGTGTCTTGGATCTGTCTGCCTGGGCTGTCTTCAAACCACAATCCTAACTAGGATTACAGACATAGGCTTGCTTTTGGTGGCCAGCCATTTTTTTTTTCTAATGCTCCATGGGAGATTCTGACACATGGCTGAGATTGAGAACTCCACTGCTGCTGTCTTTAGTTTGTTGCCTATTCAATGTCTTACAAACCTTGACAGTTACTGATTTTTTTCCTTTTTTTTGGTTAGTACTGGGGTTTAAACTTAGGGCCTCTCACTTGCTAGGCAGGAATTCTACCACATGAACCATGTCTTCAGCATATCATATTTATTGTGTCAATTCTTATTCAAAAATTATTTTGCTGTTTACATGCTAGCATAAAAATAAAACCTATCATTATTGAGTCATCTTTAAATGGTTTCATAGCTCACTGCAAATATTTTTATTCCATACCTCCCACTTTTCTTACTTAATAGGAATGCTGAGGGGAAGGAGAAAGGCCTCACAAGTGACAGGAATCTGAGATTGTGTTGCCATGGTAACAGCTGTTTTTCATCTTCTCTGAGTCACTCAGATGAGTCAGAGGACCCTGTGGTTAGAGGCCAGGGAAAGGTAACGTAAAGGTTGAAACGAAGAAATAATAATTGTTGACAGGGAAACTGAAGCTGGTCTATCAAAGTCCTGAGGGAAAAAGTGTTTAGTGTAATATAATAGTGAGGATAGAGTATAGTAATCCATACACAGAAATGAAATTGAGACTATTATGTGTTTTCCCAAGGATTCTTGTACATGCATTATACATGTGCACATGCAAGCAGTTATTCCTGAACCGATAATCAATGCCACAGATTGGTCAAAAAATGTATGGGGGAAAGTAGAAAACCCAAACAATGAATGGGAAAAGCTGCTTTTAAAAAACCAAATCAGTGCTTGCTTACTTATGACCTACAGAGAGCAAGACAATCCATTGAGGCACAGACAGTGAAAGGGTGGACAAAAGAAGTTTATTTACACCAAAAAAGGGTCTTGAGACTACCTTGTCCTGGGCTAGATACCCAGAACCAAGAGCAGCCTCCATCACCAAACCTCCAAACCTCCAATAGGCAGTCCTGACCCCTGACCTTTATTAGTTGGTCTGCAAACCACCCATTAGTCGGTCTGCAAACCCCCAAACCTCAGACCTCCAAAGCTCCAAAGATCCAAACCTCCAAAGAAGAAGGCTTTTCCCTTTCTTCCCTTCCTCCTTCTTTGCATGCTTCTCCACTCTCCACAGGCCTGCCCTGCCTGCTCTGCTCCGGGAGGAGCCTCCACAGGCCTCTCTAGAGGAAGGCCCCAAATTACCTCCAAAGGAAACCCCAAATGGCTTCCTCAAGAAGCCCCAAATGACCTCCCGAGGCTTGCCCTGTCCTCCACAGGCCCGCCCAGATCCGGCAAGCATCCCCTTCCTGCCATCTCTCCTCCACTCCTACTCCTCCCCTCCCTCCTCGCTAACTTCGTACTGTTTTCCTCATGACTCTTGTTCTTTCCCTTACTCTCCTCTCCTCAGGACCCCTGATCTCTTCCGAACTCCTCTCCTCAGGAGTCCATGTGTCCTCAGGAGTCCAGGTGTCCTCCCGACTCCTCTCTCCTCCCTCTGAACTGTTTTTCCTCTAACCTCTCCCTAACCTCTCCTCCAGCCTCTGGTTTTTCTTACTCCCCCCAGGCCTTGAAGCACACAGCCTATACATATCCAGATAGGCTGCATCCCTCCCGTACTAATAGTTTCATACCGCCATTCATGCTCCTCCCCCAAGCTTCCCCCTCTCAATCCCAGTCGGCAGCTCACCATGAGGGGCTTGATGCCCCCTCCAATAGCATGCCCCACTAGGTATGGTGTGCCCCTCCAGAGGTGCCCAGTGGGGCTGTGACATCAGCCTCTCAAAGCCCTGCTCTGTTCGGTGGCCTGGTCTGTGGAGAGGTGAGGCTCACCTCTTGATGCCCCGCCCCCTCCAGCAGGCCAGGCCACCGAGCCATGCAGACTATTGGGCCCCACTGATTATCGGGGCCCCACGGGCTATTACAGCTTTGGCAGCACATATACTAAAATTGGAATGATACAGAGAAGATTAGCATGGCCCCTGAACAAGGATGACACGCACGTTCCATAATTTTTTATATAAGAAATGAATTCTACAACTTTCTGGTGGGGGGAGGAATAAGGGAGATGGGAGAAGGAAAGAATAGCGGGAGAACAACAAAGGAGGGAGTAACAATTCTGGACAAGAAATGTACTCATTACCTTACTCATGTAACTGTATCCCCTCTGTACAGAATCTTTACAATAAAATAAAAACGTAAAAATAATCAAATCATGTTGGGCATGGTAGAGCACTAGCCTTGAACTGAATAGCACAGAGACAGAGCCCAGGCCCAGGAGTTCTCCCACTTGAGCCATAGCTCCATTTCTGGCTTTTTGCTGGTGAGTTTCAGATAATAATCTCACAGATTTTTCTGGTTGGGCTGGCTTTGAACCTCTATCCTCAAATTCCAGCTTCCTGAATAGCTATGATTACAGATGTGAGTTACCAGTGACTATCTTCATGTTCTGTTTTAACAGATAGATAGATAGATAGAGCATTTAATTATTTGCATTGACAACTTTACCTGAAAGTACAGCTTTTTTTTTCTTTCAATAACCACATTAGGACCTCTCAGAATCACAGGTATAATGCTTTGGGGTAAGTGCCATTTAGCAGATCCTAAACTGGTACCTCCTGCACAGGAGCATCAGTCAAACTAGCTGATCTTCATCTATGGAAGCCTACAAACAAGAGGAAAGAAACATTTTTGGGTGCAGATCTTTTTGGCCATAGGACTTCTTGTGATTTGTAAACCACAGCTACTTAACATTTATCTTATACTATATGCTGAGGGAAGAAGAGAGGAATGGAAGGATGGATGGATGGACAGACACATACAAAAGAGAAAAAAAACCTTCAGCCTCCTGTCTTTGCACTAATATAATTTTATTTTCTTGTGCCAGTACTAGAGCTTGAATTTAGGGCCTGAGCACTGCCCCTTACTTTTTTTTTAATTCCTCAAGGCTGGAGCTTGACCACTTAGGGCACAGCTCCACTTCAGGATTTTGCTAGTTAATTGAAGACAAAGAGTCTCACTGGCTGCCAGTGGCTCATGCCTGTAATCCTAGCTACTCAGGATGCTGAGATCTGAGGATTGCAGTTCAAAGCCAGCCCAGCCAGGAAAGTCCATGAGAATCTTATGTCCTATAAACCACCAGAAAACCAGAAATGGCACTATGGCTCAAGTGGCAGAGCACTCGCCTTGAACTGAAGAGCTCAGGGACAGTGCCCAAGCCCAGAGTTTAAACCCCACAACTGACAAAAAAAGAGTCTCATGGCCTATTTATCCTACCTAGGTTGGCTTCAAACTAATCCTTACAGGCATGAGGCACTGATGCATGGCGATATAAGCTTTCTTCCTGACCTGTTCTATCTCCATTAACCTCACTAAAGTCTAAAGGACCTGTTACCAACCAGATAGTGACCAGAAATTCCAACTCTTCCACTACCAGAGATCCCAAGGATAGGAGAAAATGAAATACGAAGGTCACAAACCCACACAAAGCCCTGCATTCATTTCTCTGGAGTGGCTCCTTTATTTTTATCTACCTCCTATTCACCCTTTGGGACTAGCTTAGATCTAACTTCCTCCTGGAGGGCCGATTTGGCCACTCCCCCAAGTTATGGGCAGAAAACCCTCCTCTATGGTCCCATGACACCTTCTGTTTTCTTTATAGCAGGCCCAAACCCAATCTTTTATGAATACATGTTGTTTTTCTATCTCTCTCACTATCCTAAAAACTGACAGAAGTCTGGCAGGCTATTGTTTTTGTTTTTGCCAGTTTTGAACTCAGGGCCTCATGGTATTGCTCTGTTTGCTTTCTCTGTTAGTATTTTACCATTTTAGCCATACCTCCAGCATGGCTTTTGGCTGGTTATTTGGGAGATGGAGTCCTGTGAACTTTTTTCGTCTGGGCTGGCTTCAAACTATGATCCTTTGGATCTCAGCTTCCTGAGTAGCTAGAAATACAAGTGTGAGTCACTGGCACTCTTACCTTATTTGATATTATAACACAGAAACTAGTACTAAAATTTAGGCATTATGGACAAATATATGACTGAAATATGGGGAATGTTGTTTCCTTTGTAAAAACCTCCTTATCATAATAACCATGCAAACATCAGATTCTTTTCACATGTTAATAAGAAATAGAATTGACTTCAAAGTATTTAATTAATTTATTTATTCACTTATTTATTTACAGTGCTAAGAGCCAAAACTAGGACCTAGTGCAAGCTATGCAAGTATTCTACCACTGGTCCACATCTCCAGCCTTTCAAAGTGCTCTAAAAACATGGCTATCCGGATGCCAGTGGCTCATACCTATGGCTCATGCCTGTAATCCTAGCTACTCAGGAGGCTGAGATATGAGAATCACAGTTTGAAGCCAACCCAGGAAGAAAAGTCCATGAGACTCTTATCTCAAATTAACTACCAGAAAACTGGAAGTGGTGCTGTGGTTCTCAAAGTGGTAGAATGCTACCCTTGAGAAAAAGAGCTCAGGGGCAGTGCCAGGGCTCTGAGTTGAAGCTCCATGACAAAAACAAAAACAAAAAAGCAAAAAAAAAAATCCACAGCTAGTGTTTTACTGCCAGAAATGAATGAAAAAGCCAAGCAAGAGGGCAAAGAACTGCATATGAGCACCAGTAAAGGCACCAAAAGATAAAGAAGGAAGAATAATGTCACAGATTTTACTAGCAGATGACACAGTCATGATTCAGGCTGGGGATTTCAAAAAACAACTCAAAGCCTGGCAGGACTTCCAGACAAGTGAAGGGACTAAGAAATCCTCTATTTAATCAGCTACTATCAATCTGGGGAAAAAAAAAAGTGAAAAAAATCTTAGAGCTCCACCAAAGAGTTATTCTCAGTGAAAATTACTATCAGAGAGATAGATGGCAATAATTAGATGATCTAGTCTCTTCATTTTGCAGCTTAGGTTGGGCTCAAACTCACAAATCAACCAAATAGTTACTTCAGCTGGTTATCAGTGGTGCACACCTGTAATCTTAGCTACGCAGGATGCTGAGATCTGAGGATTTTGGTTTGAAGCCAGCAGAGGCAGGAGTTTGTGAAACTTTTACTTACAATGGACATCAAAAATCAGAAGTGGTGTCCGGAGGAAGATGGTGGAAGAGAAGCTGGAGGCTAAACAAGCTCTCACATAGAAAGCAGTTTTAGTGTCCCAGTGAACAGTCCTAGGCTATAGAATCACACCAAGTGTGCCATCACAGTACAGAGAGTTTGGCCAAAGACGGAAAATCCAGGCAGCTTGGTCAAGGAGACAGATCTGAGCACTTGCCAGTAGCCGCGGCAGTTGGAGCTACAGCGGCGTCCGCAGCCACCATACCAACAGAGAAAGTCCGGGACAAAGGCACCAGACACGGCTTGTTAGAAGATCCTACTCATCACCAGCAAGAACTGACAAGGAGCAGAAATCTTCATCCTGCTGATCGCAGACCAGGGACAGCCCAGGAACCAAGAGTCTGGGTGAGTAGAACCCTGACATCCTCACTCCTTCTCACCCAGCTGCAGTGGAAAGGTAGCCCCTCCCCCACCACCGGAGAAGATCTCCATCTTTGAGACTGACAAAATCCCGCCCAGCAGCTAGCTCCAACCCAGGCCTTGGAAGAAAACAACTGGAGCCATTAGCAGGTCACAGGAACCTGACCTGACATGTCAAGCTCAGCTCCACCCAGGGGGAAGTCACCCTGCCCAGGCAGAGAATGCTCCACCCCCAGAGGAGTGACTTTCTTCACTGGGTAAACAGAGCCAGAGGCTGCCCCTCCCTAGAGCAGCCTTGACAATCAATTGAAATTCAGTAAACATAAACGCTGAGAATGGTTCCAGGATGGGCTCTGTGAGTATCTCAGGAGCTAGCCCTTCAGGGATTGCAAAAAGGCCTCAACCCTACCCAGAACCTAGCCTCATCACAGCATCTCCAAACTAAAGGAAACAGCCATCTCCCTCTTTTGTGATACTCAAAGCAGACCTCCCTCCCACTGAACTAGCCTAGGAGGAGGATCACAAAATCCTGGGTAACGCAGAGCATTTTTCTGCCTGCTCAAACAGACTTAAGAAATCAATCAAGCCATAGGAAAACAAAACACCACGGGATGAGAATAGACAAAGATCAATAGAGGCAGGAGACCACGAAGGGAATGCTGAATGAGGCCATTCAGAAGGAAGGGGAGTCCAAGCAAACCATAACCAATCAACTAAGTGATTTGAGAATTGTAAGGTCTGCACAGGGACACCTCCCTCCCTTTTGGCTGTTTCTACCCAGTATCTCTTACCTAGGTAACTGGCTCACCTGGAAGCAGTCACCTTCCCTTCCTACTAGGTCACATCCTGGGCCACCTCTGGTCACATGCCTCCTATCTGACCTTAGGAGGGTCCAAGACCCTGAGGTCATATCTAGATCCAATGTGACCATACCTTTCCCCCACCTGGCCACACCTCTTCCTGTACCTGGCCTAGATAAGTCCTGGCCCAGAGGTGGATCACCCCTCTTCCTCCCCCCCCATTTTCCTTTTCAGCCATGCTTCACAACCATGCATGGCGGGGGGCAGCAGTTCGGTAAATAAACTTCTTTTCCTGCCTGAATAGCATGTAGTGTTCTCTTCATCAGCTACCTAGTGAAACCTACCTATTTAATATACCTTACAAGAATAAACACTGAACAACAAATTAAGAAGTACAGAAGTTCATACAAGATCTAAACCAAAGCTCCACCAAAGAATTTGAAGCCATCAAAGCCGACCAATTAGAAGGAAAGGAAATAAAAAACAAAGTAGAAAGTCTTGACAGTAGATTAGACCATGCAGTAGATCGAATCTTGGGGATGGAAGATAGTATAGATATTATAGAGAAAGAACATACAACCATCCAAGACAAATCTAAGAAACATGATAGATCTATTCAACACGTGGAAGACACCATCAGAAGGCTTAATCTGAGGATAATGGGTGTAGAGGAGCACCTAGAAACAGAAGTTAATGGTCTAGGAAATTTATTTAACAGGATCCTAGCA